CGGCCGGCCCCTCGCCGCCGCCCCGCCCCGCGCCCTGCCCGCAGCGGCCCCTGCATTGCGGAGGAGCCCCGCGGCCTGCCCCGGGAGCTGTGCGGGGCGCCCCCACCCCCGTTCCCGGGACCCCCGTCTGACAGGGCGCGGCGGTGGGTTCAACCCCGGCGGGTTCGGGCACCGGCGGTGAGGTGCTCGGTGACAGCCGGCCCCGGTACCCAGCCCTCCGCCCGACCGGTATCGCCCTGCCCTGCCCTGTCCTGCCCGCGGTCTGTCTATCGTCACCACCGTCGTAGCAACACATCCCCAGCCTCCCTCACCTTGGTTGCCTTTGGTTCTTCCAACCATGCAAGTCTCAGCCCGATCTAATGTCTCCTTTTTCCCTTTTAGATGTTGAAAAAAAAAAAAAAAAAAAAAAAAAAAGAGAGAACCAATAATGGTGAGATAGGTTAAAAAAATGTTACAGCACCTCTGAAAAGGCTTAGAAATTGTGCTCGTGTAGGGCCCAGATCTCCTGCCATGTGCTGGAATCCAACAATAAAAGATACCCTATTGCTTGTCAGTTTCCAGCTTCTCAAGCCAAACTTTCCTCCTCAGGATGTCAATTACGGTTCCTGTATTCCTTTGGTGGAAGTGAAGCAGGCAAGGGCAAAGTCATCCCTCATGCGATGCCGCTGACGGGCTGGAGCTACAGCATGGGCTCGTCTCACCCTTTCTTGTCAATGTCACTTTGTCTCAGCTCTCTTTGCGGGAGATGAAAGACTAAAAAGCGATTCTTCCCTTTTCCATTTCCTAAACAGATCAGTCTAATGGGTTTGTTAAAAATGAACGTGCCCGGAGCCAGTCTGACAGAATCTTTACCAGCAATTCTGGGTATCATGTGTGTATTAGCCTAATAAATGCTTTTGGAACAGATACGATGTTTTGATCCAGTAAAGATAAATATTGTTATTCTTCTTTATATTTGGGCCCCCAGAATATACACTAACTGTAACCCAGACTGCACTGCGAAAATTTTAAATGCTAATTTCAGGTTTTTTTAATTTTGCTGCACCACTCTGAGCGAGTCTATTTTTTTTTTTTTCCAAAGCCTCACTAATATTAGGTACCCAGTTTGATTTCAAGCATGATTTTCAGGAGTACTATTTTTTCTCTCTGGACGTTAGCAGGTGGTCTACAATGCTTTGTATCTGTAGTTTGGGCCACATGAGTCTTAGACTGGGTGGTCAGAAGGCAGGTAAAGCCTAGGCTCCACCGTTGCTTCTGTTTCTTCAGCTTCAATAGAGAGATGACCATCCCTCAACAACTACTACATTGGATTATATTCCAATCCCATGTTATGTCAACAAAGTGACTTGGGGAGGCAAAATGATGTCGTTAAGCATCTTGATTTACAAATACATACAGAAATTTCCTTTTCCTTTAAAGTTGTGAATCTGTGAGTCAAGGCTACAAACATCTTCACTTCCAGTTCCTTTCCCAATCCCTCCTCAAGTGGTTTGGGAGAACTTCCCACCGTTGCCACTTCCCTCTTCAAGCATTTCAGCTGTAAATTAGTGGCATGAAAAGGGAGCAGGATCTTGCCAAGAGGGGAAAGCTGTCATGTTCCCCTCTGGTTGCCCACCATCAGTGATGTACATCCACCTGGAGGAGAAGATTCCAGAGGAAACTGATTTGCTGCAGGCAGTCTTTCTTCTAGACTGCCAGGAGCAAAGACGTCCATTCAGTGCAGAGGAATATGCACCAGTGTCCCCAGCACCCCAAGGATCAGCAGTGCCTTTCCTCTGCTGTCTTCTTCCATGCCTCCCTTTGGAGACCCATGCGGCCACGTGCGGACCTTGCCGGAGCTCTCCCCCACCAAGCACAGGGACTTTGCCCTTCCTTTCACCACCTAGATAACGGGAATGCAGGCTTACATAAAGCCTAATCAGAAGGAGCCCTGAGAGGGAATAAGCAGTTGGCTTGATCAAGGAGAAACAGTTACACTTCATCCAAATGGAAATTAGATTTATTTAAAGCTTACAATATTTAAAAAAAAAAAAAAAGAGAGAGAGAGAAAGAAAAGACAGCTTATAGTTTTGTTGGAAACAAATACCGCAGTGGGTGTCGTGGAAGAGATGTCTTAATGGAAAGACATCACGTACAATAAATAGACTGCCCACTGTCCATAAACATTCCTAGAGATCAGACGGGCGATACAACTATAAGCGGAGAAACGCTCAGAATATTCCGTGTGCCACAGAGGAATCGATGCCTCTGGCTCACATGCAGGATGGTAGCAGCCCGACTCTCTTCAGCAGCAGCCTGCAGAGAGAGAGGGAAGGTGAATCCTGGAAGTTAGTCGTTCAGTTGCAGCTCTCCTTTAAACAACCATCAAAGACGATGAAAAATAAACACGGAGAAAAACAACATGGCATTCACCATTTTCTCCGAGACAATTATCTAGGCAAATTACATTATACTTTACATTAAATATTCAGCAACAGTGTTGACACTAGACGTTTTAAGACAGGAAAAATTCTTATAATTTATGTTAGAGATATTAAAATGCATGCACATATTTTCATTAGAAACATTCATGCAGAGATCAAAAAGCATCATCTCACTAAGAGATAGTGGGGAAAGATATTTTTTTACAAAGGAAAAATAGATTTTTACATAACCTCACAAATGATAAGGTTTATAGTGAAACTTTGACACGCTGAATTATGGATCTATATATGGAGGTCTGGGAAATCAAATACAGAGGATTTTTACCTGCCTGCTAAAAGAAAAGGGAATTGCATTGTCTGTAGCCCTTTTTAGAACAGATTCATTTGAAACCGTGGCTGGGAAATGCTGTTTGAAAAGAGACTTGTGTCAATACGTATTTTTCTTGTACTGCATAGCTACAATAACAAACCACTGTCGCTCTTCTAACAGTTTATCGAGGTGCTGGCAACTTCGATGTTTGGCTTCACTTCAGGCTGGAGAAGGAAACATTTAATTTCTCAAAAACCCAGTGTGACTCAAGCCTCGGTGCCAATGTCACAGCATTAGCTGAGCGAACGGAGCAGTCAAGGCAAAGCCAACTCTTATCTATTCATGATGGCAAGAGCTGCGAGGACCAACGAGGATGACGAGGATGACGACATAGTGGAAGGTATGACAATGACCCCTTCACACACTTTCCCCAGGGGCGTATACCCAGTCTCTGGGCACGTTCAACAACCGGTTGAGCAGTTTTTTGCCACCTTTCCCCTTGGAAACACCTAGGCTAGGGTGACTGGGAAAGGCAGTGCTCCTGCCTCAGCATTGCCGAGATGTTTCTATCTGTTGAGAAACTCTAGGGTCCCTCTAGTGCCCAACAAAGGCCACGAGGAAGAAAGGCGAGCTGAAAAGCTCCTTCAAATGACGGTCAACCGCTGAGCAAAGTTAAAGCTTCCACTGAAAATAGTATGTAATTAACCCTGGCTTTGCATAACGAACTATGTTCAGTTTCTTTCTGTTTTGGACAAGAAACTCAACTGTATCGCATCAGCTCATACAGTAACATTCCCATGTAAAAGCCTCTTTCCCATTTGATTACATTTAGCTTTTAAAGATTATTTAGAGATATTACCTGTTTGCAAATGTATGTCTCGGGTTGCTACAGGAAAGCTTTAAGCAAAGGTGAGATCTAGCTACAGTGGAAGGACTTGTACCAGAGCAATGCTGCCTTTGTAGTTATCTTTGCTCTTTTTGTCCAAGGGACCGTAGATACCCACATGAATTATGATGGAAGAATTAGCTTCAGGGAGCTACACTCTAATTTACTTAATGCTTTTGATGTCAAAAGTCAGTCTCTGCATGAGAAGTAGCATAATTTGAAAGCAAAGAGAGGGTACAAAATGCTGGTGCCACCTGCTCTTGGGAATGCCAAGAGACAAGAATTGCCGTAGAGAATGCACTCCAGTGGACTTCTCCATTTCTCACTGCTGCGACTGAAAATGAAGGGTCCCCAGATAACATGCCAACGTAAAAAAAGGACAGAAGATGTCACTTACAGGGTATGGGGCTACGCACAGAGCTTCCTTCTTCCCCTGTCATTTACCTAACCCAGCTGCTTTTTCCCCTCAGATCTTGAGGCGTTGTGACATCTTGGTTATGGGGCTGGTTCCTTTGCTGAAGAGGAAAAAGCTGGATGTCAGACTTGTCATGTTAGAGACATCTCACAGGAGGTTTTGCAAACGTATTCAAAAGGAAGCGAGGGGAGTACTGATCCCTGCAGGATTCAGCTGTAGAAAGTTCTTAACCTAAACCAATTTTCACTGTTTTACCCCATTTTCCGGGGTACAGAGGAACAGTTCAGCTATTAAGATTTCATCTCCACAAAAAGAAAAAAAAAACAAACACAAAACTCTCTAGGAAAATAAGATTTGTTGCTTTTAAGATTTTCTAGTTATAACAGGGAATTGTGATTGACAGGAAGCAATAAATGCAAGTTTGAGCTTGGGTTGTTTGTTTTGCCATCCCTAGCTTCTCACTAGCACAGGCACTGCCTTCTTTATCTGTCCTGAAAGCTGTGGCGATAAAACTTCTGCACCATCCAGTCTCACTAGGTCTCCTAGTGAAATAGAAAAAATCCCCATCCACTGCCTACCCACAAGATCAAACAGAAGATGAACAGAACACACATGAAGGTTTAAGTAGTGAAATCTCTTTACATTGCGTCTGTAGCAAAATTGTATGAAAAAGTTGCATTTCAAAATAAATATGATGTACAAGTTACTAAATAGCCAAACTGGTCAGAACATGAGGTACTATTTTTGATATTTAATTTCCTCTTCTGGGGGAAACTCTGAATTTTTTCCAACAGTAGCTATGGAGGACTAAAGAACTTAGAAGGAATCTATTATTCTATTGCATGCTTGCACATGGAAGCTCTTCAGTTCTCTGATGTGCTGATAGCTTGTTTTATTAATGTGGAATTTTGATTAGGCTTTTTAATATGCTCCTCTTGCTAGGTTCAAACATGTAAATGTTACTGCATTTTCCAAGCCTAAAGCTTAAATTATCAGCTGAAAATAGATTAGCCTAATCAAGTTAACACCACAATATGGGGCAATGTAGTTCATCTTGTGTTTGGGCTTTTCTATTTCTTTTTGCCTATGAATAAGTCACTGATGTTCCTTCTTAAGAGAGGGTAGACACTGCAGACAGAACGAGGGGCTATTTTCTCATCAAAACTGTGGTTAAGCATCAATGTAATTAGGCTCTTTCCCATGACCAGGCTTCAAACTCAGCCTCGTATACTCAGTTTTTGTGCAAACAACAAATGCAGTGGGGTCCAATCTGGGTTTGAGAATGGCCTCAGCCTGATTGATGAGCAAACCCATCACGTCCTAGTGTGACGGAAATAATTCCCCAGCCAGAAGAAGGTGGTCCTGAATGCCTGAAACTGCCTGGTTACACTATGCTATTAAACTGCTTCTCATCCAGGGTCATCAGCAGCGCATGACTCTTAACAGCCTGCTTTGTACATGAAAGATGAGGGCTGGGGTCCTGAGGGGTGGCACATACATGCCATCTGTAAATTCATGCTGGCTCATGCCCATATATTTGCCCACAGTTGTCTAGCTGCACAAATCAGCAGTCCACGGGCAGTTACCCAATCTGAATTACAGATGTTTTAGCATGTAAGCACCTGGTTTAATGAACTGATACATTTGCTGCCACCGGGTTTAAAAATGCAGCCTGAGCGCCTGAATGTTATCTCCCGAAAACAGAGCTGGAGAACCTGTGGGATGGGTGAGGACTAGCAGCTGTAAACACAGTAGCATAGTCTCTGCCATGCCAGCAGGTGGATGAAGTTCTGCAAAAATATTCCCCAAAAATGGCTGATTGGATCTTATTAGATCTATTGTCACTTCAGGAAAGCAGTAGTTCCTGTAGTGATAGGGCAAATCACCACCAGCCTCCCAGCCACACAACTACATCTGTTAGCTGAGCTGACGTAGGCTACTTCTTTTTCAGGTACGACTTTGGATTTTATCATTTGAAGATACGCAAACCCAGTTCAAAGAGGAAAGTCAACAGAGAAGCTTGGGATGCTCATTCCCGTAAGAAACCTCAGCCAGTGATTTGAATGGGGAAAAAAAGAAAAAAAAGTAAAACAAGGATTAATTCTGGCTTGAATCTTGTATTCTGATGAAGGACCTGCAAGAGAAATGTAGAGCACGTTATAATCAAAGAGCTGATGGGCAGAGACAGAAGTGTTTCAGGTGGTTGCGACACCTATAAACATCCATTGTCTGAAGTGACTCCTTGTCATCACTCAGTATTTCTGATTTTTGAAGCGTCTGCGGATGCTTGCGCAGGCTGGTGCGTTGCCATGGTTACCATGGTGTCAGTGCTGAGGCTGTTAGCAAATGGGCTGATCTGTTTGTGTACCTCTGGAGTGAAAAGAAAGAAAAATCCCGTCATTTGTGCGGCTGCTAGCAAAGGGAGCCTGACAGTGAAACGAAATGACTGCACATAATGGTTTTCAGAATCTCCTCCTCTTGGAAATGATGGGGTAGTAAAGTGAGGGAGAGTAATGAAGCAAAGGAGCGAGGAGAGCTGCCAAGTGCTTATCAAAACCCCCTCTGCATAGCTCAAGGCAAGAGTCCTTACATGATAACGTCAGCTATATGGTCAAGAAAAATCAATATGAAGGTTTAATAATTCAGTTTCCTAATGGCCTGGCATCATTTTCTGCAAGAGCCAGGAAAAAGAGCAAGAACAACATGGATAAAAGGCAAAAAGGAGTGATCAATAGGCAACATAACACAAAAGAGTAACTTGCTTTGAGTGATACCCTGGAACCAAGCAATGAATATGCATTATAAAACTAATATTTAGCTTGTATACATGTAAAACCTTTACACGGGCACAACTCCATTGCTAAGTGAGAGGCAAAACAGGTTTAGAAGTGACAGGCAAGTGAATACACAGGAAATCAAGTAAAAACCTGGGCAGTGATCCAGGCTATTTTCAAATTTTGGCTTTTTTGTTGGTGTTAGAACAACCCCATAAATTACATATATTTTTATATATATGGCACAAATCCCCATGAGCTGAATTCATGTACTTTAATGCAGTATTTTACTAGGGAACAACACAAAGCTGTCCCACTTGATTACAAATTTTTGGGGGTTGCCCCATTGTTCTAGAGGGAGATCTAAAAGATTTGTCACATCACCATGTGTTTCACGAAGAGCTTTTGTTGCTTTTGAGTTGGGGGGGGTGGTGAAAAAGCACTAAAACTTTCACAGAGGAGGGTTGTTCCTCACTGCTTACATAGAAGCTTAAGTTAAATAGCTGTTAACAAGAAATAACAGCAATGTGAGGTCACCCTCTGTGTACCTTTTCTCAGTAGGGCTGTGTCACTACAGATGAACCAGGAATCCAGTGCACAATATTTTATATCAAACTCCTCTCTTCTTAACCAGTTAGGTTTCATTCATGTTTTCTCTGCTATAAACCACAGAAAACAGAGTTGACCCATTCTGTGACCAACTGTGGTGTCTTCCTGGCTTCACATCTGTAACATAGGCACCAAGAGAAATCTTTGGAGATGCAGAAGATAAACAGAAAGCCAAAACTGCAATCCTTGCCCTTCTTGTAGATCCCTTGGCCTGGCATCATGCTGGAGATGCAGGCTGAGACTTTGTTGCTTTCCAGCTCCGAACCAATGCAGCCAATTGCTCCAAAGAAGCTCCTTCAGCAGGAAGTCATTCCAGCCTCTCCTTGTGGTCTCACCCTGGGGGTGGTCCAGCACTATCAAGCCGCTGGCTCTCTTCTTTATTTCTTGTTGCTGACTCACTAAAGGCAGCTGAAGCTCAAGAAAAGCTTTCCCCAGGCTACCTTTCCACAGAAACCCTGGCCACAGTCACCACAGAGATGAAGCATGAGTCCTACCAGGTTCTGCTGGAGGTTCATAGGAGCCTTCTGCTGCATTCAGATGAACTGCTATTAAATTCAGCTGTTGAGCTGAGTACTCATCTCCAGACTATTAATTAATGTTGCTGGAAGCACAGCACTGTTGTCTTTCACCTGTAGCTGCCCAGGGAACAAAAGAAGTGGACTGGGCAATCGATGGCATTCGTTTTCATGACACTGCAGAAATGCAGCCATCGTTTGTAAGAGATATAAAACAAGTCATCTATGCAAACTGGCAGGGAAAAGCTGAAAGGCATCGCTGTTGCCGACACAGATCAATACTTACACGATGCCTATGGCTGGTTCTACAATCCACATTGATAATGCATCGTGTAACCTGACTCCAGAAACCAGGGCTTAACTCTGGCAAGCAGAGTTTTTCCTCGCAGAAACCCCCAAGGAACTCCTCTATGACCTCATTTCCCTCTTTCAAGAGAGCCTTTATTCAATATTTCCCCCCCCAAACACACACATTCCTTAAAATCAGCGTCTCTGACCACAGTTTGCAAACAACCCAACTCCAGCAGAAGCCAGGCTAGTGACAACCAGAGCCGTGTAAGCTAAAAGCTAACAATCATGGTTGCTAAAGCCTCTGCATTTGGGACCTGTAATGTTCCTGCATATACATTGATGAGCATCCTTTGGGTCTTGTTGTATTTGAAATGCTTCAGTGCCCGCTCTGCTATGCCTCGGGCTCTTATAATAAACTCTTGTAGCTAAGCAACAGTAACCTCAGCCCAAATGCTGTGGCAAGAGCAAGTTATCCTGCAGGAAACCCGTCCTCTCAACCAGCTCTGGACCGCTGGCACCAGCTTATCCTCACTGTTGACCACATCTCTTAGCACATACTGGGCTAAAGAAATTCAGACTGAAAAGAGATGGAGAAACAAGGCAATGAACGGGCAAAGCTGCCTGCAAACACTATGGGTGCTGCAGAAGGGAGGGCTGGTGACACAGGGGGGAAAAATAAACTTTCCTGTGCACGGATGAGGATGTGGCAGGATTGTCCTGTGGCAGGCAGTGTATGTGGAAGCAATTCAGGAGGAAGGTAATACTTTGAAGCTGGGTGTGCTTACCATCTTGGGAAAACCTCAACTGCCTTCAGATCAAGCCCAGAAGAAATCAGAATCAGCAGGTGAGGTTAGGACAGCGGGCCTACACTCAATGTTACTGAGAAACAAACATATAAAAATGATCTGCAGGGCTGGGAACTCATGGCCTTCCACTTGCTGGGGAAAAAAAAAAAAAAAAAGCAGAAGAGTATCAGCAAGGTTAAAGAAATACAGACAGGAAAGTTTTTCTAACACTCAAAATGGGAGAAAATCCAGATCCAACCACAGCTGGTCCTACAACTGCCAAACCATTTATAAATCCTCCAACACTCCCATTTTAATAGATGTCAAGAAATGTGTCTCCAGAGCTGAGCTATACTCTCTTGTGAACAACCACAAACCCAAAGATCTCTACAGTGTTTCTGGCAGAAAGTGTCACTAAAGTGTAAGTAAAAGTGGCCACAATAAGCGTTCAACTGTGGGCACATGTCAGAGGGTTATTTTGTGTAAGAAAGCAGGGCAGGGAAAAGTACAAAATGCAGTCAATTTATCAAGCACATAAACCACGTGCACTGCACCCTGGGGAAAAAAAAAAAAAAAGCAGAAGAGTATCAGCAAGGTTAAAGAAATACAGACAGGAAAGTTTTTCTAACACTCAAAATGGGAGAAAATCCAGATCCAACCACAGCTGGTCCTACAACTGCCACACCTGACATGGAGGCTAAAGAGGAATCATGAGGAAGAGTTTAAAAAAAACCCCTCTGTTAACATAAACAAACATTTAAGAGAAGGCTGCCCCTTTCTGGGGGTCAGACTGAAATTCTATCATGTAGTCCTGGAGTAGTTGACTGGTGAAGCACCACTTCTGCCTTCACTCTTGTCAGAACCACTTGGTAAAGCCCTGACTGAGCACTAACATCAGCCCCAACGGTGCTTTTTGCTCCAAGGCAGGCCTCGGTCACAGCCTGGTCAAGCTGTATAAAGACCTGCAGGCACTTTTTGGCCAAAAGATCAGGAAAAATAACTTTTTTTCATCTGCGTGGAGCTCTGAGGTAGGAATAAAATGCCATTTGGCAGCATTCCTGAAGCAAAGTACATGCACCATCAAATATAAGTGCAGCACTGAGATATTCCAGCTGCTGCCACCCAACAGGCTAATGCATTTCTCTTCTATCACCTTCACTCTGCTTTTTGTAAAACATTTACAGGCATTTATGAATTAAGCCTCACACCACACTCGTGCTCTAGGAAAGGGCTGGCCAGAGAGACACAGCAGCTCAGTAGTTAAGATGCCAGGCTAGAAGCCACGGTCACCAACCCACCGCCTTGTCCTCCAGACCTGCTGCAAGGACAAAGACATCAGAGTGTGCCAGGCAGCCTGTGCCCACCTGCTGGGAGCTCTGTCAATTTTAGGTCAATAATAACATTTTAATTTCCTTTTCAGATGGAGATGGGTGGTCACGTCAAGGTAGCACAGGAACTTGGTAGCAGATGCAAAACCAGAGAGGTTTCCAACCTGATGCCCTAAGATCGTGTATTTTAGCACTCACTAGAATTAATTTTTGTTCCTCATACCTTCTCAGCCGTGAAATTCATAGTTAATTCTTGCTGTGGAAATCATAAAAGCTTCCCGTTACAGGCACCTGAAGCTCAAGTCTTAAGCCCAAATTTAGGAACTGACGCTATCATCAATGACTGAGCAGCTGTCCCTGCTTTTGGTCAGGATTTACAGAGGCTCTACCAGGGACATTACCCTCAGGCTATTCTCTGCCTAGCAGGAGACATCTTTATGGGGACAGATGCAGCTGATTTGCAGAACTCGCTGACAGAGGACTCCATGAAGGTGAAAAACCTACATGGGTTCAAAGAAGGTATAGACAAATTCATGGGGAACTGGTCCTTTGGCAGCTACTGCAGGCCTGGGGTCAGGTATCTCATCCCTGGACATCTCTGAGCAGGTGGCTGCTGCAAGGGGATGCCACAACCAGGCTCTCTATAAGCTCTCTCTGCTTCTTGTCCTCTTTCCCTAGGCATTCAGGACTTCCCATTACACTGCCTATCTGCTGGTCTGAAACAGCCACGGCAATTCCTTTGTTAGAAGGGAGACCATAAAAAAAAATTGTGATGTAAACAATGTATGAACTTTAGCTATTTCTCAAAAATAAAACTTTCAACTAGTAACCTCAGAGCAGAAATATTTTATTTCTGCATAATAAACGTGCAAGGCTCTTGACTCATCTCACAAAGTGACTGAGAACCATAAGGTATGGTGTGATCTAACTTTAGAATTATCATATAAGACTCCAAATTTATTTTATTAAAGGGAGCTATAACTAAATTTTGATGCCATTAGATCATACAATTAAATATTGGCTTGCTTACAGGCCCTTGTGTTTTGCCCCATGTAAAAAGGACTGTACCCACCAATAGATGGCTTCTGAGATTTTCGCCTGCAGGATGTTTAACAGCTACTGACATAAGAAATAAATCCTTAAAATCTAAACCAAATGATTTTAACCTATAGAAGTGAATTAAAGGAAGTTGTGGGTTGATATGGGGACCTCCTAAATGTTTGCAACTCAGTGCATTCTAAACCCTTCCAGGTGAGTGAAAAGTATTTAACTTTAGCTTTCTTCCCTTTCCAAAGGAGGTGATAAATTGCACTTTCTGTGTTTTCTGAGGAAATAAAAAGAATACAGAAGAGGAAATACATTAAACTTTTCCATATCATCATGTAAATCACATTAACATGATCAATCCAACTAAAAAACATTTAGTCTCAGTAGATCGATTATTTTTGGATCTCAGAAGATATAGCTGAGCAATACAAAAGCAGAGTTTTTGAGGCAGAGGGCTTGGGACCCGTCAGATGTTCAGAATTTGATGGCCACAATTGGAAAATTACTTCTTTCCTAACACACAACAAACCACCCCAATATAACCTGGTTCTTACAGCAGCCAGAAAAAACAATGAACTCCTGAACTTTAGCACTGTAGATAAAGCCTGGACTGATTTTCTCAGTTCAGTGCAAAAAAACCTTGTGGAAGCAAAGCACAGCAATATTAAAGATCCATTAGAGGTGATGTTTTACCCAGAATGGCTCAATATTTGCATCTGTATTAACGTGTGAGCCAACACACAGACTCAACCATGAACACTGGGCTTTAAAAATAAACAAAGGCCCGGTACAGCTTTCTATTAATAAATAATGACAATAACAATAAAGCAATAAAACATAGGCTATTTAATTTGCTTTTCTAGGAGTCAGTCCACATAGGATGCTTTCAGAGGGAAACATTAACCATTATTATTAGCTGCCCATGAAAAGCTAAAGAGAAAAACACAGCCATACTGTAGGCTGCAAATAGTAAAAAATAAAATATAAAATAAATATTATATATATATAAAATATAATATATATATAAATAAAATAAAAAATAAAACCACCAGCTTTGCTCTCTCCTTGAGAGAGAGAGGGGAAAAGGGCAAGAAAGGAAAAGGTTATATCCCGGAAATCAGTTCACTGGGCTTTTAGGTTGTGGCTGTATCTTCCCTGTTTGGTCCTTCCCTGTGCCAGGGAATGCCCGTTTGTGCCAGAGCAGGCAAGGAAGAGCCATGTCCTCCCTGCAAGCAGCACCTGGCTGGAGATGCCTCTTTGGCTGTGCTGAGGGCTGGGCACAGAGCAGCAGCCTGGGCTTTCTTTCATGTTTTCCTATGAGTGATACTACTGCAGCCACGTTCTCCAGAGTGAAATCTGGGGATATGTCCTGGGGAGGAAATGCAGGACTCAATGCAGAGTCACAGGTGTTGTGATCTGATTTGATCTTTGTCCAGCTTTGGAGTCCTCAGCACAGGAAGGACATGGACCTGTTGGAACAGATCCAGCAGAGGGCCAGGAGCACCTCTGCTATGAGGACAAGCTGAGAGAGTTGAGGTTGTTCAGCCTGGAGAAAAGAAGGCTCCAGGGAGACCTTATAGCATCTTTCCAGTACCTGAAGGGGGCCTACAAGAAAGCTGGGGAGGGACTCTTTGCAAGGGCATGAAGTGATAGGATGAGGGGCAATGGTTTTAAACTAGAGCAGGTTAGGTTTAGATTAGACATTAGGAAGAAATTCTTTACAATGAGGGTGGTGAGACACTGGAACAGGTTGCCCAGAGAGGAGGTGGAGGCCCCATCCCTGGAGACATTCAAGGCCAGGTTTGATGAGGCTCTGAGCAATCTGATCTAGTTAAAGACATCCCTGCTTACTGCAGGGGGGCTGGACTAGATGACCTTTAAATATCCCTTCCAACCCAACATATTCTATGATTCTATGATTCAGGAAGTGCTTTTGAATATTTTGTCCTATAAAAACTTATTTTCCCCACATCTTGCAGGATGGAAAAAATTCCTTTTAATTATGTTAGGTAAAAATGAGTTCCTGTTACCCAAAGGATGCTGCCTCACTCATGAGGGCAGGGGGAGTGTTCAGCCTTCCCTGTGGTGTGTCCTGGGCAAGAGAAGAATGACTAATCAGCTGCTGGTGGCATTTTGAGATTGCTTGCTTTCATTTCTCAGATTGCTACTGAAATCCATAATGATATAAGGTGACTCCAAGATCAGACAGACTCTGATTTCTCAGTGGAGCTCTACCTTGAATTTTCCTTCATTAAATATATATATATGCACACATGTATATTATATACATATATTAAAAAATGGATCCTACTCCAAAAGCCTAGTAAAGTTGATGAGATGGCTCCCCTTGGCTTCTGTGGGCACAGGTTCAAAATATTAATCTGATTATCCTTATGGCTCAAATTCAGCAAGGTTGTTAAGTATATATCTAACTGGAGGTATCTGAACAGTCCCATTATGATGATTCATGGATTTAAAAATAGAAATATGTTTAAATGCTTTCTTGAACTTGGGTCTAAAGGAAATCAATACATGTCATGCCTCTCACTCATGAAATATTAAGGGAAAATACATAATTTATTGTGCTTTATGTATGCATATGTACTTAGCACTGATTATTCTGTAATAAGGCCATACATAATTTAAATTGTATAGCGTTCACCTTTTTTTTTTTTTTTTGGAGGGTGTGGGGGGAAAGACATCTTCATTAAAGCCAGAACAGCACACTTTTTTTGATGATGTGGGGATTTATTTTACTCTTTCAAATTATGGATGCCTGGATAATAATTCTGTTTGCAAATATTCAAAAGCCCTTTTCTGGAGAGAAAAAAATCACAGCCTCTTCTACCGCTCTGGGAAGGGAGCCTGAAACCTCTGAGTGGCTGCAAACCGGTGGCTGGGCAGCACAGAGGTCTGTGCTGGCCTCTGCTGATGGGCAGGACCACAGCTAGTGCCCAAATCACTGCAAGAGCCTCCGGCCATCCCTCAGGACCATCCCTCACCAGCAAAGCTAAATATTCCTTCTTGCATTTAAGGTTGCAACCAGCTGGATAGGAGAAAAGGGAGCCTGTGGTAGAAAAGCCCACATTATTTATTCACTAGGGAGAATAACTGTCCTTATTAAGGTTTATGAGCCAGTTTTTGTTTCTGGTTCTTGTTTGCCGATGACATCATGCTGTCTGTGAACCTTCCAGTGATGTATAAAGGACTCACTGAGCGAAGCGATCAAGGACAGGCTTAACTACATTTATGCAAAGAAGTGCATTTCTACTCTGCCACGCGCATCGGGGAGTGTGTCATTAACCTGCTGAAAGTCAGCATGTGTTTAAAAGCATTGCTCAGCCAGAAGATGCGTGACATATTTAGCACCTGCCTCATATGGATGTGTTTTAAAAGCTTTGCTGCCCTTTCTCACAACACGACTCCCTCCTGCTCACACCTGGGACAGGCTTTGTCTCTGCTGGAGAGGGCTGTTCCCAACAATTCAGATACCTCGGATACCAGCTTTGCCCCAGGCTGCCCATCTCCTAGCAGCAAGGGGATGGTTCTCCACTGAGGTGGGAGAAAGGGCGAGAATAAACAGGAGGAAAGAAACACCTTGGCTTTGTGCAGCAGAGCAATGCAGTTATGGAGAGATCCCTCTGAGGCAGGTTCCTCACCTCTGGAGCTGGCTCCGTGGCAGCTCACGTGTCCTCTCGCACTTCCCCACCACTCTAGCAGAGGGAATTAGCTCTAAAGATGATGCAAGGGGCATTCAGTGCATCCAGATCTGCCCAGTGGGGATGCTGCCATAGCACTAAAAAGCCTTGCTGCTTCTCCATCCTGTTCTGGATTCCTTTTGCTGCATGGAAATGAGTTAAGCAACACAACCACCATCAGGTAACAGCAGGGAATACTCTGAAACTTCCCTGCTTTCCAGCCTGTGTGCATGTACACACAAACATGTACAGTTCTTGGTAAGCAAACAGCTATTAAGCGAATATCGATGCTCCTTTCCTCTCCCAGCCTTCCACAATTACTCAAAAAATCAAAATAAAGTTCTTAAGGCCAGACTTACCAGCTTTGCCACGGGCAAATCTTACAGCCTGAAAGTCTCTGGAGGGAGAAAACATGTGGGGGGCAGTTCTTCAAGGCGTGCTCTGTGTCGAGCCCCACGTCCTGCCCCGCAGCAGAGCTGCTCTGCTCTCACATACCTGGGACTTCACTGCAGGAGAAGAGCAGAAAATGCCTTCAGTGATGTTCGGATCTCACCAAGCTGCAAGCACACAGACGTGACTGAGGTTGTGCTCTCAGTAGGGGGTCACCCTCGAGCAGCTTCTGCAAATCATCTTTTACCTTTCTTATTGTGAATGGGGGTTTCAGCCCACTGTTTCATTTTTCTTAGAGTCATCTAATTCTTTGACTCCTTAAGTTTGTGGAAAACAAAAAAATAAAATCACCAATTTTGATTCAGTTTTGAGTTCAAGCCAATCCCACTGTGATTTCACGTGGCTTCTGGCTGATAATGATGAAGTAGGCAAACTTTATTTAAGGACTTTGGAAAGAACCATTAATATATTTTTATGTTGCAGATGATTTGCTCAAAATGTCCCAGCAGTAGCATAGTGGGATATAAATACTCAGCACTGGTAGTTCTATTCACCAAATTATTAACACCAGAGAGTTAAATATTTCACCCATGACTTCTCTATAGCAATCATTTACTAAGCATGCAATGATGAACACCTGGAAGAGTACAAACCTCCCAGGTAGCTGCTTGGAAAATGCCTCTGGAAAGTCATTGGGAATTAATCTGAGCCACCTGAAAAGCAGGAGGCACATCCCCAGCTGCGAACGATTCACGCTGTGCTGGTAAACAAGGCCACCTCCCCTGAAAACACCAGACATGCTCAGGTCCTGGCAGTCAACTGGAATAACAATTTGGAAAAATAAGAACAAAGCTGAGGCTGGGACTGAACATGTAGGTCAAAAAGGTAGGAAGCAGGAAAAAAAGGAAAAAAAGCAGGAAACTATTTGCTGCACTCACATCTTTTTTTTATTCTGTGGATACAGGGGTCAATGGCATTATACTCAAGTCAGGAGCACAGTTCAGTATGTTTCCTACCTCTATCCACTTCTAACCTTAGATTGGTAAAGATAGGTGGAGAGTTCCCACTCCCTGACCAAGCCAAAATAAGTCTCCCATTTCTTTGCTGAGCCTCCATAGCGCATCTAGTCTCCGTCTACATCACTTCTTCACCAAACTCACTGACTTGCTGTGTACACAGATGGATGCAGTATTACCAAACACCCTGCAAAATTAGACCTAGAAAACCTTTATGGTATTTTTTTTTTCTTCCCCTAAGTATGTAATTTAAGTGCTGCCTGGAGTTACGTTATTTTCCTAAAACTAAAATGCACCACTGTCATGTGCAGCTACAAAGGAGTGGTGGTAGATGGCGCTACATGAACATGAAATTGGTTTTTAACGCTCTACACTAAATATTTAATGTTACATTTCTTTACACACAAAGTGCACATGAGCAGTGGCAGTATTTTAATTAGTTTTTTACACTTGCATAAATAATATATTGAAAATAAAAATCAGGAAGCCAATTTATTGAGACGTTGGAAGACAAAAAGAATCTTTGTGATTCAACTCTCAGGGAAAAACTCCGGTACAGTTGCAAATGTCCCCCCTTAGCCAAGAGCTGAAGGGTGGGAGCAAGAGGAGGTGGTTGCAGGTAACACACTGAAGTCAGTAATTTCTAATTTCCTGGATCCCAAAATACCACCAGCAGAGCATGCTGTTTCTAGTCGTAAAGCTGCTAGAATAAAGTATTTAAACAGCACTGGCAGGTGCAACAACAGCAGAGGGAAATTTCCATTTGACCTAAACCACTCAGGTCCTGGGTGGTGGGGGTCAGCTGGCAAGGCAGCCTGCTGCAGGAGAAGACATCCTCAAACCACAGCGGGAAGGGAAAGAGCCACATAAATAGATTTAAGTGTATAGAGTGAAAAGAGCACCCAAAGCACATCACATCAGTAAGCACACTGGGGACTAAAATTTGCAGAGACCCATGATAATGTGAAATGTATAGAGCAACAGCAACAAAAAGCTCACCATTTTCTCTTAACAAGTATCATCCTCTTCACTCCTATTCTGTATGAAAAATGTTCCTACTGACTCATAGCAATGTTCCCTGCATCTCTCCCACACCTACACTTAGATACTAAAAGAGCAAATGTGATCAGGAATGTGAATTTACTTTGGGTTTTTTCTTTCATGTTAGTGTCAGTTAGATCAGTGATTGTCTGAAACCAGCCTTTGACCTGCTGGACCAGCTTTGCATTTGGGACTCCTCTAGAAAGTGCATTGGGGTAATGTCTTAAGTGGTGAAAATGCCTGCTAAGGAGCAAGGGGAAACAAGGCAGCACCTGGTTTGAGAGAAGAATATTAAGAACTAAGCCACAAGATTTTGTAAACTGTAGTCCTTCATACAGCGAGTGCAAGAGGTTTGCTTCGTCCTCCACATGCATGGATTAAACCAACATAAACATCTTTTCTCCACTGGCGATTTAGAAACCAGTAGCACACAGAGACAGCGTGAAGAGCAGGGAAGCTCAGCACCAAAGCTAAAAAACCCAGAGGAGACAGAGCAGCAATGCCAAGAGGCGTTCACAGAGCAACCATCTCTTCCATGTTCATCAGCACTGCAACTGCCTTGGGAGGACAAAGTCATGCTCTGGCCAAAGAAACTGCCAGTGTCACCCTGTCCCTTCTTCCCACTGGACTCATACAGGCATTCTTCTGGTTGGTGCCCAGAGCTTCCCTCCAAGCTTTACCTTGGGATCAGCATGGTGCGGTGACAGCTGGTGGAGCCCCATCTGCCAGCTGGGCCCTGCAATCTTCCACTCCTCCTCCTCTCTATAAACCTCCATCCCCACCTCCTCCTCACAGCATTCAACAGCGAAGCGAGAGAACTCCTGGAGAGCCTTCCTTGCAGAACTGAAGCGGGCATCATCTTTATGACATTCACTGCATTATTAAATCTGCAGGATCTGAACCCTATTTAATAACATGCTTGTTCCAAGCAGAGGCAGTTAATCTCCCACTATCAGTTCTTAACCTTCAAAATATTTGTACTCTAGCTGTGAGGTTTGTATGGGCTAAGCCATAATTAGAAAGTTTAAGAAGCACCCAGGGAAGCTTCCTGAGCTGTCCTGCATTTCCTCATTTAAGTTCACAGGTCAAATAAAACCTGTTGTCCTGTTCTCTAAAAGGAGTTTGATATTTCCTAAAACTCAGTAAGCTGGCGAGGGAGACTAAAGTGGGAAGAAATGCTAACTGTACTGGGGAGGAAAAAACACTTCCCAAAGCTTACTTTTTTAGTTCTGCAGAGGCTTTGAGAAGTGTTAAGGAATTCTGAGAAGTCTTTTCTAAAAGACACATTTAAAAGCAGGAAAAACAATGACAACAAAAAGTTATTTAACAGTAAGGATGGCAGCAATTGCTCATGAAGTGGCTGTGAGCACCCAAGCTGGCAATGACAGTCCAGACGTGTGAAAGGGATGGAGGGAGGGAAGAGAAGACGACTGGCAATTCCCTTTTGTGCAGTTGTGTAAACCTTGCCTGGTGAGTGGTGAAATACTGCAGGAGATAGAGCTCGCAGCTCATGCATCCTTCCCCCGTGGGATGATGCTCACGTGAGGGTGATGCACAGCTGTGAGCTGCATCTCCCTCAGTTCCAATTCCTGCCATCCTTCCCAGTGCAGGAATTAAACCAAGAGAGTCACGTCAAGAAGAGATGTGCATCCACCCTTTGGAGTCCCCAGTGCTGTTGATGCATGATGACACCTTGAGCTACTCCTTCCAACTTCAATAGCAAAAGAGCAGGAAAAAGGTAGAGGCTGGCCCGTGTTTGAGACTCCTTGTCTGCAGGGCTGCTGTCACTGACAGCCAGCTTCCCATTCCCAAGGAAAAGTGACCACAAAGCACTTGAAGGAAAGCAACTCTGTTCAGGTCAATGCTTCACCTATTTCTTTCCACCCATGGAGATTAACACCCATGCACCTAACATGGCCTCAAACTGCTTTTCTGCAGATAAAGTGGAGCAGTCACATGGCTCTGCCACAGAGGAGGCAGAAAATCTTCCACAGGGTGGTTGGTTGAGAGGTGGACACATTCTAGCAGTGAGAATGGTGGCTATCTGCTAAGCCACAGATGTGCAGGGACCATTTACAGCCAGGCTCTTGGTGACAGACCCTGCCACCTCCATGTCTCATAGTCATTTCAGTCCTCCTTTGCATCATCCACCACCTTTCAAGCCCTGCACCCTTTCTACAGACTCAATGAACTCCACCCTGAGCTAATGCCAATGTCATGTCCCTTTCAACTAGTGCCATTCTCGCTCCCTGTCCCCAGTTCCATGGCAAAAAGCAAGTGAGGAGCAGAGAAACCAAGACAAGGGCATGCAATGTGTCTCATTGTCACTTCACAAGTCTGCACAACTCGAATCACCCAAGCATCCCAGACTTCGTGGACTCCTTAGAGCCCTTTTAGGCTTGTGTATTCAACCTGGCAGATTACAGGTGGCAGTTATAGATATCCTACTACTGTGTATATCTATTCTTTCCCTAGAAGTTCCCCATGCAAGCCCTCCAACTTGTCAGCAAGTAGCCTGCTACTCTAGATTTGGGCAAAGGATCCAGTTCTGTTAAATTGACAGGCTGGATAAAATATAGTTCACACACAAGAAAAAAAACCAAAACCAACGATAATATGAAGGACTAAAAGACAACTAGTGGTTGAGTATTAGAACAAAGAGGGAAGGGTTAAGGGCAAATAGAAGTTTTCAAAAATTTTACTAGATTAAAAAGATTTTCAAAAAAAAACCCAAACCAAAACAAAACACAAATCCCAACATTTTTCAATATTTCAATTAATATAGAGTAAGTATCTCTATTTCAAGTTAAGGGAACAATCTTGCACTAGAACAAACAAGAAAATTACCATTCATGCCCACAGACCCAGCATCTGTTAGCTGCAGATAACCTACAGCAGGGCTGGAAGTTTCCCTACATCATCTTTGTGGGCAACAGGAAAGCATAAGCTCGCAGAGGAAAGCAGGGACATTTCCTGGGTTGTGAGAATAACATCGGGGAAAGGCATCCACAGGCCACTACAAAGAGATAGGGGGC